AGATGAATATGATTTAGATTTTTATTTCTGTGATTGTAACGACCCACAGGAGACACGACATTAACAACACATTTCATCCCTCGGCTTTAGCAGCTCCTTTAATTCCACAGCTGACGCTGCTAAAAAAATGACAGATTTTCTTTTCTGGATCTCTGACAACAGGACTTCAACCTCTGAACTTGTAAAGTTCTTCTTTTTTACTTTGCAATGTCATTTATGAAAGGACACTTCCTGGTATGTGGGGCAGGAAGTGTAGCCTTAAATAGTGTTTTTAGGTTCGTAATTAAGCTAATCTCCTCTCCCCGTGCACGAGCACCTGATATGCATTCATCAGTTTACGCAGCTCATTTACACACATTTCCTGAAGATAGAAGAGTTTGTTGAATCTGACATGGCATGCTCGTACGAACCCTTCGTACGAACAAAAGTAAGAGAAATTTAGGATAACAGTACGAACATGTTCCTGCATGAGGCTCAATAAAACTAAAACATGCAAAGGTTAGAAACATTTTGAGAACTGAACCTGACTTCTYACCTTGTTATGGTGGAGTAATACGATGCCACAGGTAAGATTCTGTTCACCAGCTCTTTCACAGACATGTCCAGAGTTGTATCAACGATAAACGAGCGGTTCTGCCTCCCCAGAACAGGCTGAGCCGTGATGTCTCGCCCGTCGACTCCGATGAGAACAAAAAGCAGGTCCTCCACCACAAACTGCTCCTGAGCCGGCAGCGGCAGCGTGCCTGAACACAAAACGTTGAACCATGACTTACTGACTACACCGAGCTGAGGTTAAAGAGGAGACTTCCCRTCTGCGTACCGATGGCCACAGCTGGATCTGCTGCCAGGGCGGGGCTGGTCACGAAGTCTCCGATGAGAGCTGGGCGGTCGTAGACCCAGTTAGGAAACACGGGGTTAGGCTGCGTGGGATTCTTCTTATTGTGTTTGTCTCGTAGCATCTTCCTTGTGACTTCAGCAGGCTGAAGTTGAACCATTACAAAAGAAATCTGTTGAATTCTACTTTTTTTTTCCTCAGAAGCATTGTAACATAGCTCTTCTAGTAAAGATGCATTTTAAGTTCACCAGAGGAGCGTTGGAGCTGGCCGTCACATTGCCRAGCTTCTTCCGCAGCTCATCCAGCTCCTGCATGGACATCTTTGTGCTGGTTTGAGGCAGAGAGAAACTCGTGGTCGAGTTTGTGTTTGCTGAAGACTCAGATCTCTCTTTGGCATTCTGCTGCAGTAACTGAAGCGTCTAGAAATGTCACAAGTTAGAAAAATATAGTTTTCAGTCGTTTGCTCTGGAGAAATTTGAGTAACTCGTAAAATACCCCCATTTTTTACCTCTTTATCCTCACAGAGTTTGGAGAGCAGATACACTAAAGGATCGAGGTTGCGAACATTTTTGGACTTCAGCTCATCATACTTCCTCAAGAAGTCCTCAGGTGTTTTGGAGAACTCTGCTAATTTGACCTGAAAGTGACACAAAGGACAACAATGAGGAACTGATCATAAAAAGTCTGCAGTTTTTGCAAACACTAAGTACTGACCGAATACACAGGTGTGTTATGTGTGTGACCCACCTTGGCACTGTGAGCAGAGACTGTGGTGGTGACGTATGGAGTTCTGTGTTTCTGCAGTAAGTCGATGTATCCTTCCGCTCCATCACCTCCTCGCACCTGCAGGAGGCTGAGCAGCTCGTTCACGTCATGGTGGATCCTGAACTCACTCATGGCTCAGCTGATCTGACATTTCATTGAAGACACAGGGACAGAGGAGCTTAACCCCTAAAGTTTAACCTCACACCTGAGAGTTAGACTGATATTCATTGAAAGAAGGCTTAGGACTAAAATGCGTACAAATACAGAATGATTTTAATGGCTGTTAGCTTCTGTTTGTTGTGATTCGGAGCTAACATGCTAGCTGGCTACAAGAAGGGGATGCTACATGATAGCTAGCTTACCAATACAAAAAATACAACATATATAGACACGTGAAAATGTAAATTAACGTTTCTAAACCACAACTCGATTATAATACAAGTCTGAGATCAGCATTTTACCTTTTGGTCGTATTGAATACAARCAACAGAGCAGCTACAAGGCGCCCACTGCCACTCAAATTCTTCTTCGTTGTCTATTCTAATCGAAGAGTCGATGGCGCCACACCGCCACCCGCTGGTCAAATTAAAACACTACAATTTTAAATTTTATTTATTGACAAAACTGCTACAACTTTAATAAAGAACTAAACAAAAAATATCACATACAATACACAGGGAAACTGACAGGCGATCATTGGAGTTCCGGATTACATGCACATAATCTGTGATTTRCAGGTAGTGTGGCCGAGCGGTCTAAGGCGCTGGATTAAGGCTCCAGTCTCTTCGGGGGCGTGGGTTCGAATCCCACCACTGCCACAATAGCATTTTATGTAGACTAAAAGAGATATCATGAACGTCTATTTCCTAATAAAACAAGATGCAAAATGTAAGTGAAAGAATAATTGGCGTTTTCAAGTAGGGAAAGGTCAGAATGTTTGTGGGAGAAAAGCTTTATGAAGCTTATGTGTGGAGTTTTTAAATTACAAAATGTGCATTTGAGGCTTATGTTCAATATAGATAAAACACAATTTATTTTAGAAATAAATACATTATTTTTATTATCAAAAATAACGAACAATACAAGGTAGTTATCATATGAACTCAAACAAAAGCCAGGGGGACTACTTCACACAAAAACATTAAATAAAGTGCACAAATCAATAGTTTATTTAGCTTTCTTATTATTAGAGTCAGATATATTTGTGATATATTGTTCAAACTCATTCACCAGAAAAGATAGGACAACATTCGTTTCACGCTTTCCTTTCTCGATCTTATTTTGAAATTCGTTAACAGCGGAAGTAAATAGTAATCGTGTTACAACCCGGAAGTATTACCTTCCTCTGACTAACGTTTGAATCGACAAGAATGACCGATTTATCTTTTAAAGAAACGATTAAAAGCGGAGCTGCTACGATCTTCCAGCTGCTGGAGGTCCTACTTGTGTGCTAATCTCCGGTCCTGGAGGTGGATGCGGTCAACGCCCCGATGCTATCGGAGAAAACCCCGCCGCTCTGTTTACATGTCGGCTGTTTCCCCGCAGTGTGTCGTTAACTGATCGTGCTGCCCGTTTGTGTTGTTCAGGAGGAGGAGGGGGGGGAAAATGGCTGAACTGCATGTAGTAGAACCGAGCGGAACCGGCACCATAGATCAGCCCGAGCACCGCGATCACGTACGGGGCTCGATGCGCCTGGCGTCGCCCACACTGGTGGTTCCTCCGCGGGGCACCGGACAGCTCAGCCCCGGCGGCGGCAGGTCGGTGTTCGGCTTCCCGCTGAGGAGTAACCCGAGCTCACCGTCCGAACCGGTGGACAAGCCGGGCTCGCGTTGGGTTCGGCTCAACGTCGGTGGGACCTACTTCATCACGACCAAACAGACGTTATGTAGGGACCCCAAATCTTTCCTGTTCCGACTGTGTCAAGAAGACCCGGACCTGGACTCTGACAAAGTGAGTCTGATCACACTTTTCAGCTGCTGGTGATGCTTAGATTAAGTACCATCTCCACAAAGAGCTGCAATTTAATTTAATGTTGACACGGCTTTGTTTTTATTTAACTAAAATCAATGCTGAAGAAGCAGAAAGTGATTTGTTAATGCTAACTGAAAGCCAAAAGTAACAAATCTTTCTCAAGGGCTCTGGCTAGGAGTAAATAAACCTAACTAAAATCTTTCAAAAAAAAAATAGGCTTTGAAAAAGTAGCTAAAGGTTTGCTAAAAATGTCAGACAGAGAAGATACGGTTAAAAGTTGATATCTAAAAGGTAAACTTAAGAAAAATAAATGAAAACTTAATGTAGCTAAAGGCTARCTAGAAATATCCAAACAAAGCTAGAAAATAAAGGTAATAAAAGGCTACCTAAAAGTRAAACAGCCTTGCTTAAAGCTAAAAATAGTTAAAAAGGTAACAGACTAGATGGAAACAAAAAGCTTTCTTAAGGCTAAAAGTAGCAAAACTCTAGATAAAACAGTATCAAAAGTMTGAAAAGGCTAATCACAGAAGAAGCAAAGGCTAGCTAGAAATATCCAAGGTTAGCTAGCAGGTAAAAGTAGCAAAAGGCTAGCTAAAAGCATCAAAAAGCTAAACTAAAACTAAAAGCAGCAGAAAGCTAGGTTGAACCTGAAGAAAGCAAAAGGCTATCAAACAAAAATTAGCCGAACTATAGCTAACAGTAGGGAAAAAAAAGCTTCATAAAAATAGCCAAAAAGTACCCAAAAAAAACTCAAAGTAGCATAAGAAGAGAAATGTAGAGCTCTGCTGATCAGATTTCAAAGAGAAAAATGGGTTTGAAGGAATAAAAACGTTTGTGTGTGTAAACTTAAATATTACACCACCTTTATTATCACAAAGTATTACAGACGCAGAAGCTATTTGTAAATAAAATTAACTTTTCATTTTTTAGCTTTTGAGCAACAACCGAGCTGAGAGAAAAACTAACGAATCCTGCTGTGTGAAAACGAGCTGCAGAAAGGATGAAGATGTGTGAAATAAAACTACAGACCATCTAATTTGTTTGGTTTAAACCTGAACTACAAACCATTTTAGTTACTCAAACATAAAAAAAAAACTGATATTTTATCTCACTGACTTCCGCCTGGATTGATCACTGAGTGTTTATCTGAGTGTGTTTGGGTCACGATGAGTCAGCGAGTGATTAAATGACTGAGTTTACATCCAGAACCTCTTCAGAACAGTTCTCTCTCATTCAGACTTTTTTTTATTTTAGCATTAAAATACGGCGACATGTTGAAACTGAAGGCAGGAAGATGATCTGTGCAAAGAAATCTTGTATATGTTTCTTTAAAACTTGTGTTTTTCACATGTATTCTTGTTTATTTTAACATTTTTGCAACTGAAGTTCATCTAAGATATAATTTACCCTCACGATCAACCGTTGTTCAGACTTTCTATAATCAGACGAGCATGGTGTGATTACAGGACGAGACGGGGGCCTACCTCATCGACAGGGACCCCACGTACTTCGGCCCCATCCTGAACTACCTTCGACACGGAAAACTGATCATGGATAAGAATCTGGCCGAGGAAGGTAAAAGCCTAAAAGCCATGCCGCAGAGAGCAGCAGCTGTCAGCGAGCACGGCTCTGACGGGTTTGTGTTTCAGGGGTTCTGGAGGAAGCTGAGTTCTACAACATCGCCTCCCTGGTGAGGCTGGTGAAGGAGAGGATACGGGACAATGAGAACCGGACGTCTCAGGTACGGTGGGGGTGGGGCGACCCCGGACTCCCTCCTCGTCCGATCAAACAAAGCCCCTGTCTGTGTTTGGATAATTGCGTTGCGTGTCCCCTCAGGGTCCGGTGAAACACGTGTACCGAGTCCTGCAGTGCCAAGAGGAGGAACTCACRCAGATGGTCTCCACCATGTCGGATGGATGGAAGTTCGAGCAGGTGCAGGGAAAAAACAAAACAAAAACACTTCCTGTCATTTATTAACAAACAAACAAGAAAAAGTCTTAATGACGAATGAATTTCTGAAGCTCCAGCTGTTGATTCTGTAAAAACCTGAGTGAAAAGTTGTTCAGGTTTATTTATTATTATTTTTATCTTTGCTCAGCTCATCAGTATCGGCTCGTCGTATAACTACGGTAACGAGGACCAGGCGGAGTTTCTTTGTGTCGTTTCCCGAGAACTCAACAACTCCACCAACGGCATCGTCATCGAGCCCACCGAGAAGGCCAAGGTGAGCGACCTGCTGATGCTTGATTCCTGGGACCCGAGTCTTTGCGCTAGTAAAAGCCACACCTACGCACTACGACTTCATTTATTTTTTTGATCAAAAGAAAAAAAAACAATGAGTTTCTCTTATACAAAAATCAGATTCTTACATTTCCTACAATATAACAACATGAAAATTTTCCTTATTTCCATTTTTTACAGAGCATAAGAAAAAAACACAACAAAAAATACTATTTAAGGGGTTAGTAACTGAAATTCTTTTAATAAATCGTACAATTTTTTTAGCTTTTGCATTATGCATGTTTCTCAGACACCTTTCAAACATCATTAATTTGTTCATAAGAGCACAGAACGAGGGGGAGCATTTTGTAAATCAACATTTATGTATATATCATGTCGTTACGATTACATTTTTGACCAGAAATTCCACATTTTCTTCAAGTTAGCTGCAGGCACTGACTGACCTGTTAGCTTAGTATCTGTTGTGTCAATGACAGCTGCCAATCAAAGCTTCTGTTTGGACCTCACATTTTCTTTTTATAACTCATTATTAGGGCTTTRTATTGGAAATAATTTGGTGAGATGACACATATCACCACACGGGTCACGATACGATACATCATGATTTATTGCGATAATGTAAGCAAGGCGATATATTGACTTTTTTTTTCTCTCCAAGAGATTCCAACTTTTAAAAACAATAAAAAGTTTGGGTATCATTAAGCACGCAGTGATTAGATTACTTGTGTCTAAAAACGCAATTAATCACAGATCGCCCACCAACTATTAGCACTGATGCTAACTTAACACTGAGAATGCCATAGAAGAGCTAACACAATTAGCATCATGGTTTTAACTGGCAACTGGAAACACTTGTTTTCCTGCGTTATGTTCATAGGGTCCAAACTGTTTAAGAACCAGGAGCCACGTGTTTCTTTTGGCAGCACAACATGCTCCAAAACTAAAATAAAAGATATAAACTTTAAACATTTAGCCAATTTTTTTCTGTTTTCTCCATCACAGATCCTCCAGGAGCGAGGTTCCCGGATGTGAGGCGACGCAGACCCCGAGGTAAACATCGACAACAAAAAGCACACTCCTCAGTTCTCATTCGCCAACCACTACAGCGCCTCCATCGGCGAGCTCCCGTCTCCTCTGCAGTGCCTTCCCGCAGCCGAGGCTCCCCTCCTCGTCTTCACTCCTCGTCTTCACAGCTGAAACCCGACCCTCGTTTCTCCTCATCGCCGCAGAGAAAYGGGTCCTGATGCTGATTTAACGGATGGCTACATCTCCATTTTTGATCTTCACCTCCAGGATTCATCTTCTGTTTTACACGTTCGGCTCGGTCCGGTCAGCAGAACTCTCCTCAGGATCCTCACAGAACAAACAGGATTTAAATCAAACTCCGGTTTCCGAGCCTGGATCTGACTAACGGAGCGTCGGAGCAGCAGAACCTCCTCTTGACGGTTCAGTCTCTGTTTGAAACAGACCCGCTCCCATCTGCGAGAATCTGAGAATATTTCCACACAGAATCATCCTACGACAGACTTTAAACTTCACTCCTGCACAGTTTCCCCAGGCATGTAAGGAATCTATATTTCAATATATTTAGGCTGAAATTATATGAAAATCTGAATGCAAAAGGTGTAATTACTGATTTCTGTATCATATATTTACATATTCTTGTGGATGAAGAAGAAATATCAGTTTTAACGACGAGTTTGAGCCCCGTTGATGCGGCTCTGTGTCTGCAGTGCCTCAGTCCACGACTGAAATATCTGTTTTCAGCTGCACGCTTTCTCTAGTTTCTCCTTTAGAAAAAGAAGAGTTGATCCCACGTCGACATGTTGCATATCTGAAAATTGTAATTAGGGATGAAGAACCGTGCGATGGAGGTTTGAAGCGTGAGCAGTTGCTTGTGTTCGCTCTTCATTGTCTGCAGCATGTAGCAACCAGGCTGGAGCATAAACACCAGACCTTACGAACCGTCAGTGAACGCACCACGGTGGGGCCGGCGAAGGCTTTGTTTTAGAAACTTTAAAGTTCTTGACTCTGCAGGAAACACATTTCAGAATCCCTTCGAGCATTTCTGACTTTCCACAGAAGGAAAGTATAAAATATATCACATTTATTGTGTCGAGTTATTTAAAAAAAACATTTTCAAATACGCCGTGCTAAAATTAAATTTTTAAAACATTTTAGTCATTTATCAAACAGAAATTTCTGTTATTCTCTTGTTTCTTTATACATCACAGACCTTTCATAGTGGTGGACTATATATGTTATTGTGTTTGCTTGTCTGTTAGCAAAATATCTCAGTAAGCACAGGACAGATTTTAATGAAACTCTAGGCTGTTATAACTGATGAACGTTTGSAGTAACCCTGCTTCAAGATGGCCGTCACATCCAACATTAGTAAACACACAGACRGTGATGTAGTGACTTTTACAGATATTGAGTTAAAGTTTAATGTTTCAGACATTTTATTTTACATTTCTTTTTATTTATTAAAATATTCTTATCTGTCCATCTTTGAGGATTTCTGCTTGACGAATGACTAAAAAACTTTCATTTGCTCTGAAATCTTTTATCAGCTGTGTCGCATTTTAACTGAGTTAAGCTCAGTTTGTTAAACGCAGAAAGCAGCTTTCACTTTTTACACCATATCAGTGATTTATTGACGGTGATTTTTATTTAATCACTTTCATCGATCATCTTAAAATTTCTTTTTTATGTATAAAAATTGTTTAATGCGTTTAAAACGAGCATGAAGGAACGACGTAGAAAAAGGACCCAAACATTTCGTTAAAGAGATTTTTTTTTCACTTCCTGTTTGTTTTTTGAGTCTTCTCCGAGCAGTTTG